GTCATTATTCAAAATAATTTTTAAACGAACGATCTTACACGTTCAGCATTGCTTTTTCTATTTTTCCTTTTCTCATATCTTTTTATCACTTCCTCTACTGAATTGCACACGTGTTACTCAACTGGTACGAAGTCGAGTAATGCGTCTGGAAATCGATGCAAAGCATTACTCGATTCTATTTATTCAATTTCATCGATTGCTAGTATAATTACTATTTTTATTTCTCTTTAAATTATTCATTTCACTGTACTTCGATACAGAATTATTAATCAATTTGTAGCGGTAATTGTATTTTATATTAATTAAAAATTTAATGAATATTTTCATGAGTTTCGCGAAATATAATAATTGCATGCAGGATTTAAAATTATGATTTTACTTTTAATCAATTCGTATCTTTTGTGCGAACAATTGAGCGAGTGAGTGCTCAATGCAGATGCATTATTTACGCGAGAAAATAAATTATACAGGAGGAAGTGATTTAATATGGAGATCTGCATGAAATTATTAATATTAAAAATTTCGTCAAATTTTACAGAAATTATCGATAATATGTTATCATTATATCAACATGTATTTTAATATATTATTAATGTATTATTACTGTGTTTCAGTATATTATCATTTATGTGTTTTCCAATGTATTTCAAAATAACATATTATTATTAATATATTGCTAATATCTTTTATTATATTATTATTGATATATTATCAGTGTATCAATATATAACTATATTTATCATTTAACTCTGCACTCGACGAGTGATTTAATATGGAGATCTGCATGAAATTATTAATATTAAAAATTTCGTCAAATTTTACAGAAATTATCAATATAACATGTATTTTAATATATTATTATCGATATATTATTAATGTATTATTACTGTCTTTCAATACATTATTATTTATGTGTTTCCCAATGTATTTCAGAACAGCATATTATTATTGATATATTGCTAATATTTGTTATTATATTATTATTGATATATTATCAGTGTAACAATATATAACTATATTTATCATTTAACCCTCTGTTTAAACTCGATGATTTTTTGGCTAAAGAAGAATAGGAGTTCAAAGATTTTCTGCTACAAAGTTGACAATACTGTTTTGAGCAGTAAATAAGAAATCGTATAATAATTAATACACGAAATTATTTGATTTCGATATTTTGCACACTGTTACATTATCTTAAATTTAACATATTAATTACTATCGATCACTGAAATTTTATCAAATGGCGACTGAAGGGTGCTTCTCGAGTGAAAAGGGTTAAAACTTATCATCAGTACATAATAATACAAATAATCTCATGTCATGAGTGAATTGCATTTTGGGAATTTACGTTTTTATTATACCACGTTTAAGCTATTCACATAAGTTCGTATATCTCGAAATGACTGCATCATACCATTCAAATATTGCACGAATTTTTTGGTATTCGGTGACACAATACTAGTGTTAAAAATTACGCAGTGTATATTTATTTTTATACTCATAATTATATTTTCATAGTCCGAATGTAGATACTATATGTAAGACACTATTTGCAATTTATTTAGCGTTATTAACTCCTGTTCTGTTATGTAGATTACCCTCAGTCCACAATCAGTCTACGAAAATACAATTTCCATTGGGCAAACAAAACTATTTTTTTGCAAAAAAGAACTAATCGAAAAATTAAGGAAAAAATTTAATTAAATATTCTAATGTAATCTTCTTATATAAAATTAAAATTTCTTCAAAATTTTGTTTTTTTAAGAGAATTACACGTGTTAAATCAAACAAATAAATCTTGCTTTGCAGCGCCAATTATTGCTACGTCATCTGTTAAATATTTATACAACATTTAATTGTATATCGACCGAAATCATCGAATTTAGAGATAATATTTATAAAAATTTCTGATAGATAAATATATTTGTAGATAATACTTGATTAAACTTGATTAATCTGTATTTATATCACATTATATTATTTCAGATACAATTTAGACTGTACTTTATTTAATTTAGAATTATCTATTATATATCTTATATAATTTAAAAATATTTATTTTGTATACAAGTATATCTTTAGAAATGATTAATTTTTATTATTAAATTTATCTTAATTATAATATTTTATTTCAACGTTATTTAAATTACTAATTTTGTATGTCTTATTAATTTCTGATAAGTATTTAGTACTATATCAAATTTATTTCATATTATTCATACTATTAATTAATTTCCAATTGCTTTTAAAATTCGTATTTATATCTGTATTTATATTACATTATATTATTTCACATACAATTTAGACTGTATTTTCTTTAATTTATAACTATCTATTATACATGTTATATAATTAAAAAATATTTATTTTGTATACAAGTATATCTTTAAAAATTATTAATTTTTATTATTAAATTTATTTCAATTATTTTATTTCAACCTTATTTAAATTTCTAATTTTGTACGTCTTATTAATTTCTAATAAGTATTTAGTACTATATCAAATTTATTTCATATTATTCATACTATTAATTAATTTCCAATTGCTTTTAAAATTCGTATTTATATCTGTATTTATATTACATTATATTATTTCACATACAATTTAGACTGTATTTTCTTTAA